TTTTGAATATGGAGACAATTCATTATCTGAAATTTCTCGATTCAGAAAAACAATGGATATAATCGTTGATGAATCATGAATAAAAGATGAACAAACCACAAAGATACAACGGGGGAATGGTATAATAAACGTGTGGGGAATTCTAACTTCAACTTTTCTCTGAGTGAAACTGAAACTTATTGGACAGGATTGACATGGCAGAGAATGGCAATATTGGATAATATAGATAATGATGATCAAATGGAACTTAAAAATTTGACCGTAACCTCTTGCAATCCAAGTTATACAAGCTACCTCCTCCTGAGCTAACAGGTCTCTAAAACCTCTGCAATTAATTCATATTGCAGGAGAAGTGTCAATCAGATGCAGTTTTTCTTGCATTTCTCCCAGCTGATGTTTCTAATATTGATCATACAATAAATTAAAGACTAAACCTCTTATTTATACTTTTAATAGTATTATTTTTTGCAGTTAATATCCCTTAATATTTTTCCTTTGAATTAATATCCTCAATAATTCAAAATCTACTAGAAACCCAAAATTTGATGGAGAGACTCACTTGTGATCACTTGCACGTTACTCTCCATCAGCTGACAAGTTTAACTAGATTCTCAAGTTGACATGGCATAACAACACCAAAGAGAAGAATTTTAATGTTGATATATGGACTTTGACTAAAAAAATTAACAAAGACCAATTGCATCTGGGGCCACCCCTACTCCGTATGCCTCCTGTCCTTCCTGTTCGTTCCTCACCCCAAGCCCTCTGATTGCTTTTGCATAGATATGATTACGTCCGATCTCATTTTCCAGCTAACTAGTTTCTATTCCTCACTTTCACCTTTTTCTTTTTCCATTCATTTTTAATAGTTTTAATTTGATTTTTTTAATATTTTAAATATAAATTTTATATTAAAATTTAATATATTTTAAAAATAATATATAATTGAATTTTTTATAAAAAAAATACTCAACTCTAATTTTTTATTAAAAAATTTAAATTAATAGATACTAACTTAATCAAACTTTTATTAATTTTGATTCATAAGATAATATAGAAGTGTACTATAAAGATTGTTCAGAAAAAAGTGTTGACTACATTTCTAACTCTCTCTTCACCCACCTTAACTTTCAAATTTGAATGAATTTAAGATTTAGAATTCAATTGTTTAGGGGTAATTAAAACAAAATCTTTAGGCGCATAATTGGTGCATATTAGCAAACACATTATAGATCATTTCATGGCATGATGGAAAGAAAAGCATTATATCACTAATAGGAAACACAATTTTACACGAGCTAGGTTCACGTTGTTCCTAGCAAAGTCGATAATAAAATTTCTTTGTCCGAATACTATGCATAACAACTTCATATGATAAGGTTGTGTAAGGATGTTACTTATATCTTCAAATGTAAAATACTAATTACAAATAAGAATCTAGTTAAATTAATATCTATTAATTTAAAAAAATTTAATTTATAATTACAATTATTAGTTCAAACTCTTAAAGTATTAAATAGCTAATTAACTTCCAGTATACTAAACAATTGAAAAATACTAATTATATTTGCGTCCTATCTCTAAGATACACTGACAAAGTTCACTTGGCTTTGAAAGCATCGCTATATGATCTGCATCCTTAATCTCCATCATATCGTTCACCGGAGAATTTTCTATCATCCAACGTTGGAACTCTTCTGGTATCGCTTTGTCCTCATTGCATACAACATAGGTGTTGAAGAAATAGGGTAAAAAATCTGCAAATGGCTTCAAGGTGTGTTGCAAATGCCACTTTCCTTTAGGCTAATTTCACTCCCACCAGATTTGGTATGCAAAAGGAGTAACTCGAAATGATCATAGGATACAATGAAGCGCTTTTTTGATCTTACTTTTGCACTAACAAGATCAACCACTGAACCATCATTTGGAAAGCGACAAAACAATAGTTTTTGTACAAGGATTTCTGCAGAAATTGAAGTGCAAAAAAGGGGCTGTTTTATTTAGATAATAGTAGGGATTTGTTTTTGGGTTCAAGAGACAAAGAAGAAGAAGAGATAACTTCATATTTATAGGGCTAAGATGTCTGTTGTGAACAGACGCTCCTTTTCAGTTATTATCAGTTTATTAACGGATAATAACTGAGTTATCATGAAATTTATCCGTTGAAAACTTTTCCAAAAGTCATTTGATTTGATTTGAACTCTAAATGACGTGTTTCCTTGCCTTCTAAAGTTATCCACTCTTTTTAGAAACTTATCTGAATTTTATTTCTTATTCTGACGTAAATGGTTCGAACAAAAAACGTAACTTTTCAGATTTTGATTTTTCGTAAATGATTCGAATCATATAATTATGATTCGAATCAAAGTTATACTTTCTCAAATGTATTCTGCGCAATTGCTTCGAACCAACTTTTTGTGATTCGAACCCAAATCCTAGAAATATTTTGAAAATTTTTCAACATTGTCTGGCAGATCCGTACCCCTCGTTAGAAAACTCATTCGCCTTTGCCAGATCTTGAATGAACAACGATCCTGGCCTGATCATAGTCTCAGCCAACTCCAAATCCTTCCGCCCCCAAAAAAGAAAGAAAAAGAAAGAAAAAGAGCTCAACTACCATGTAAGTATTACGTACAGTAAGTTTAAAAAGGCCTTTAAAAATTGGATTTAGCATCAACGATTTATTGATTCAAGTGAAAAGAACTCGATTTCTCTTAAACAAATCTGGAGTTTGAGTCTTATGAATGAAAAAACAGGCATGGAGAGAGTTTCCTTCCTAATAAGGTCTGATGTGACTCGAATTTAAATTAATCGGACTCAATATGATTATCAGATATTGAAAGGTTAATATAAAAAAAATTGAATTTAGCACAATTTAATTTATGTAACAAAAATAAAATTGTAAAATACCTCAATAGGGGAGAGCTGGGAGAGTTTGAAAGCTAGATACTTGGGGCCGAACTGCATTGATGTATAAGAGCTTGCTCAGGTCGTCCATAGGCTGCAAATTCAGTGTCTAACCAGGCGTCTACAGGGGTCCTCTCACAGCCTTTGGTAGAAAAGTCAAAGTCAAAATCAACTTTTTACCTTAATTTAATTGAAAAAAATTAGATAAGAATATCAATTTTATAATTTTTTACTTAAAAATACACATTTGGTTAATTTTAATTAAAATG